TGAGATGAAGACGCTTATTAAACGTAAATAATTACCTTCATTATTTTAACTCGTCAATTGTCTGAGCCGTTATATCCGCCGCACATTAAATTTTTTAAAAGTAAGTAAGAAACTCAGGCTGGTATAACGTAAATAATTGTTTATGACGGACAATTATTTACTGCTAATTAGGGAATCACTTAGCCAATTCCAATGGTGCAAATTATGCTGTTCTCTAGGACTTCTGGTTCAACACTACTCTTACTTCTCTTCACCTTTGAATATAAAAATAAATTTGGAAACGACATGTTATGTTATGTCATTTCTTCAGGCACAACCTGGAAGAATTCTGCCCCCAATGAAAGGAAACGTAGTGGAATTTGGATCTCGGTATGATCAATATACGAATAATGAGAAGAAGGTCGAAGCAAAACGAAAAATAATTTTAGCGTACCAACAAAACGTGTGCTCGCAGACTGCCTTAAAAATCCCTGCACCACGGTATCAACGTTTAATCTCGAAATGCACAATTTTATCGAAAATGTCCCCTTTGTTATCGCTCTTATTCCAGACATACTTTCGTTCAAGATCGCTGGTATTCCGGTACCACAATTTCGAGCAAGTCGACATCAATCTAGCGACCACGTCGACTTCACCCCTACAAGGTACCCCCCTTCCCCTTTTTGATACCATTAAATACCTAGGCATTGACCGAATGCCTCCCCAAAATTTCCTGTTAAGTATCTCCACTATACCTACCTTTTTACTGAACTGTACAATTGTATTGTCCCTGCATATGGAAGTCTGATTACAATGTCAATGTAAGAAGCTGCTAAAATTAAAGTCAATTATGGGGGGAATTCTGGGGATGCAGAAATCTGTGGGAAACAATAAAGAAATAAGAGAAGATTCTAAGGAAATACGTAAGAAGTCAGGGGACACGTGGAGGAAAATTTGTAGAACAACTCAACTTTCAAACAAAGCCTGTTACTTATTTCGTTAAAAATTGGTGAAATATAAAATACTGCACGTAGGAGTTCTGAAAGCAATATATTATCTTTTCGGGAAACATATGACGAAATCAGAGGAAAGATGAAATCTTAAAATTAAATTTTGTACTGATTTCAATATCCTCCCAATGTTTATTAGTGATGTTAAAAATAAAATTTAAGTTTTAAGCGGTTACTGTTACTTGGTCTAAAAATGGGGGTGATTTATGTCAATGCAATAAATTGGGAAAATTAAAGGAAATTCTGGAGGAGTTTTTGGCCAATTTTACTAAAAAATCAATTGATATAAAAAATCAATCATCTCTTCATTTACTTTTATCTATGATCGTATGACTGTAAAGTCTCCATCTTGAATATCTCAAGTGCACAGGGTTGACAGCAGAGCAGAGCAGTATTCGATTTTGTAAATATTTTTTAGTATTCAAATCCTTTAAAGTATTCAAATACTTTGTAATGAAATACTTTTATGGAAGCAGTATTTGTATTTGTAACTCAAATACTTTCACAAATATTTAGTATTCGAATACTTCGCAAAGTATTTGGATACTTCGTAAAGTATTCCTTTTTTACCAAAAATCGACTGCACCAAAACTTCTCGGGAAAACAATTTCTCTTATTAATTTTGGTGCGTAGAATCCAAAACAATTCGTACTTTTTCGATCAGACTTCTCAATCAAAAGTTATAGACTAGAAACCAATTTCGAAAGAAAATTCAAAGGGCTGTAACTTTTGAACTAGTAGCCCAATCTTGGAACTGTTTGAAATTATGGATTCTACAGGCCACATTCTATAAGAAAATTTTTTTCCGGGTCGATCTGAGACAATTTTTTTTTCGGGCCTCAAAAAAAGGCAGTGTATAACCTTCCTTTTTTACCAAAAATCGACTACACCAAAATTTCTCGGGAAAACACTTTTTCTTATTAATTTTGGTGCGTAGAATCCAAACAATTCGTACTTTTTCGATCAGACTTCTCAATCAAAAGTTATAGACTAGAAACCAATTTCGAAAGAAAATTCAAAGGGCTGTAACTTTTGAACTAGTAGCCCAATCTTGGAACTGTTTAAAATTATGGATTCTACAGGCCACATTCTATAAGAAAATTTTTTTCCGGGTCGATCTGAGACAATTTTTTTTTCGGGGCTCAAAAAAAGGCAGTGTATAACCTTCCTTTTTTACCAAAAATCGACTACACCAAAATTTCTCGGGAAAACACTTTTTCTTATTAATTTGGGTGCGTAGAATCCAAAACAATTCGTACTTTTTCGATCAGACTTCTCAATCAAAAGTTATAGACTAGAAACCAATTTCGAAAGAAAATTCAAAGGGCTGTAACTTTTGAACTAGTAGCCCAATCTTGGAACTGTTTGAAATTATGGATTCTACAGGCCACATTCTATAAGAAAATTTTTTTTCCGGGTCGATCTGAGACAATTTTTTTTTCGGGGCTCAAAAAAAGGCAGTGTATAACCTTCCTTTTTTACCAAAAATCGACTACACCAAAATTTCTCGGGAAAACACTTTTTCTTATTAATTTTGGTGCGTAGAATCCAAAACAATTCGTACTTTTTCGATCAGACTTCTCAATCAAAAGTTATAGACTAGAAACCAATTTCGAAAGAAAATTCAAAGGGCTGTAACTTTTGAACTAGTAGCCCAATCTTGGAACTGTTTGAAATTATGGATTCTACAGGCCACATTCTATAAGAAATGTGTTTTTCCGGGTCGATCTGAGACAATTATCATGCACACGGACAAACGGATGGTCAAAAATGGATCTGTTCCAAAATCGCTAGGATTAATTTCAGAAAGGCGTACGTATCATGTGCATGACGTACGATCGCTTTGAAAACTGGTACACGTATTCTTAAGGATATAACTGGTATAAGAAAGGTCCTGGTAGGTACCTCCTATATAATAATAATAATAATAATACGCTTTTACTCCCCTTAAATTTGTATATAACAATAGAAATATAAAAAAAGCTAACCCCATACAAAGTATAACTTGATTTTTTATCTAGTATTAAGCCTTTTATCTAGTATACTATTTTAAATTTTTAATGTATTTGAGTGACAAGTATTTGAATACTTTTTACTGTATTCGAATACTTTTCAAAGTATTCGAATACTTTTTATAATATTCGAATACATTCTAAAGTATTTGAATACTTATTTTTTTAAGTATTTGAATACTTTTCAATGTATCTGTATCTAGTATTCGCTTGTGCTGGACATAAAAGTATTTAGTATTCAAATACCTTTGATTTGTGTAAAGTATTTACTATTTAGTATTCAAATACTTTTTCAAAAGTATTCTGCCCAGCTCTGGTTGACAGGAAGCTATCAAACAAAAAATTAAACAAATATAGCAAACGAGCTCCTGGGTATGGCTATAGCATGTGCAAAACCAAATTTTAAACCTGATGTTAGTTTTGCTTTTATTTAAAGTGTATATGTATGAAATTTCATTTGAATGCCTCCATAAATAAGCTGCGCATGCGCAAAACCAAATTTTGAAACTGATGTTAAATTTTCTTTTATTCCAAGTGGTTATGTACCAAATTTCATTTAAATCCCCCTATAAATCAGAAAGTTGGCACTGCGCATGCGCAAAACGAAAGTTTGAAGCTGGCGTAAAATTTGGTTTTTTCCAAGTGCCTATGTATCAAATTTTATTTAATTGCCTCCATAAATGAGGAAGTTGGCACTGCGCATGCACAAAACCAAATTTGGAAACTGGCGTTAAATTTGCTTTTATTCCAAGTGGCTATGTATCAAATTTCATTTAAATACCTTCATAAATAAGAAAGTTTGCAATTCGGTCTGTAAATGGTCGAGATGCGCAAAGGGCACTGTGAATGCTGATCGATTAGGTTCAACTTTTGGAATTGTGTTTTATATGGCTAAAGCTATGCGCATATTGAATTTCATGCAATTCGGGTCATAACTAACGGAGATGTCAAAAGGGCCTACTTTATTTTTTGGGCTACATTGCCAATTCTCGAACTCCGATCTACAAATTTGATAAAGAATCCACCTGCAAAATTTCATCGTAATCGGTCCATTCGTTTATGAGTTATCGTGCTAACGGACGGACGGACGGACGGACAGACACAACAAAATTATAAACTCGCTAGGAGCTCGTTAATTACTAGGCACCAAAGGCAATCGGAAACAAAACCTTCCACATAGTTTACTTTCGATTGAGCCTGTGCGAATTAATACTTTGATTTTTCCAACTGAATAAATGCTAAGAAAAGATAGCAGATAAACTGTCTAAACAATGGAACAGGTTGTATGTCCAAATATGCATTGCATCAGTACGTATTGTCAGTCATCCCAAATAAAACAAATATACATACCTATGTCATAAAAAAAATACAAATGCGAGGAAAAATTTGATTCGCGCTCGCATAGTGAAATACATGCATAACTGACCTTTCGAAGTAAATTTCCCAAGCGACTTTTCTATACATTCGCATTTTCAATAAAAATTTATATTGATGTTTCCCTACAGTTCCCTCAATTTATGTCAAACCCTTTGCAAGACTTATAGCCAAATTCGAAACGAAACTAAACAACTTCGGAAAATGCATACCGTGAAACATAATCGGCAACTTACACGTTACGTATGCCTGAAACGTCTACATTTTTTCAGTCGCCCATACTTCGTGTCAGGTCGCATTGCAATCACTTTAATTAAATAAAGTTAAAATGTTTGAAATTCCGAAGAGACGCGTACCGAATTTTAATGGAAAGGGGGGGTAGGTAGAGACCTAAACTGTCAGCTATTTTTTTTGCGATTTTCCTCCATCGTGTGGACTTTTCTGCTTCGATGCCGCGGAATTTGTTCTTTCATTTTATAACCTGCCAATTCAGCCTAACTTTAATACAAGGGGTTATATTAAATTATTGATACATTGCTGCACACGTACCGTGAATAAAATAATATGTATAAGCTCGACTGAGTTTTTTCCGTTTACATATGCAATGATTACTGCAAATACTCACCTCCCATGTCCGCGGATTTCCAAACGTACATCATGTTTATGCGTTACACTTCTTCGTACTCGACTATGCTGTGTATCCAAACGAGATCGATCGTAGCGAGCCGGTTCGTAGTGGTGTATAAACGAGTTTAACTGAAAACCTGCAACAAAAATTGCAATAGTGATGCATTTCACTAAAATACAACCAAAATCCCCAACATAAAAAAAACACAATTTAAACTTGCCCCGAATTTGGTTTACTTTCACTTTGATAAATACAATTTTAGTTACTTGCGCAAAAATGCGGACACATAGATTTGATGTTGAAGTTTCTGTAGTTAAAGATTTCTTTCTAATTCGGGCGAATTTTCTGTGTTTCTTTTCTTCACCACCCTATTCAACAATTAATATTTCGCGGATAAAATTAAAGGTAAGACGGCCTCCTCCTCTGAAGACAATTTACCAATTGAGCTTATCGTAAAATTGAATGGGTCTTCAATCCTACTGCTACTCCTCACTTTAATGGGATAAATGATGGTGTCATTGGAAGCGCGCTTAATTAATTTGAATTTTGATATCAATTCCCAGATTTTTAGGACAGCAGCAGACCATACAATTAATTAAAGACACTTTAATTGCTTATGCAAAGAGGCACTGACCGATTTGGAATTTGCTACATTTCCCTCTGCAAGCACCGAATTTTAAGTAAGGTAAAGCCATTTTTAGTGGGGATCTTTTGAATCACAAAAAGAGCAAGGCAAAAAAGAATTAGAAAGGCTCACTTCCGTAGTCATTCATTTACAGATGATATGGCAAGCACGTGTATTTGTAATTTGAATTTATCCGGCGCCATTACTATTAATTTGGTATTGTTTTGCCATTTGGTGTTTTACAACTCGATTAAACTTTAGTATAGCACATGCCATTTCAGGCAACTTGATTTTAGCCGAAGTTTCCTTGTAACCGTACCCTAATTAAAGCGATGTCGATAAAGGGTAAAGAATTTATGTAACGTTCAGGGTTATTGTAAGTTATTCAAACTGGTGCGCATATAGTTTTCAAAATTGATTATTTTCCGTTTTCCGGTTTCGCCTTGTAGCTTGAGAAAGGATTAAACATATTTTGAGCGTTAAATGACAATGGTCCAAATGTATACTGTTTGCCGAAACTCATTTTGAGATTGTTATGGTCGTGGTCATAAAAATAAGTCCAGCAAATTACACTGGGTACCCAAACTGGGATTAATAATGTGACAACAAAAATCACGTGAAAAAACTCTTACTTTAAATACTAAACCTTTCGTTGAATCGCTGTAAATTATCTCCAAGTAATTATACGAAATGGCAGGGGTATATCAGCTGCTGGAGATCTTAAACACATTGTCTTAAGTTGTCATAGAAGTTTAATGAGAGCTTTAAGTAGGTTAATCCCCTTCGTTTTCCCGATAATTATCAACGTTTTGGCTTGCACTTTTGCACATTCTTTTTTTTTAAATCGCGACTCGCCTTAATGAATGCAAGGTTTAGTCTGTTCAAGTGAAGCGAAATTAAAATTAAGTAAACCCTCTTGAGAGTTGCTTTCATGAATATCCTCTTTAATTAATTGCTGAATATATTTTCAGGCAAAAAGATAATTATTCCATTACAGTTTCTCGAATTTTTTTCTTGTTTCCTTTAATTATTTGCAGAAAGTTTCGTATCGTCAAAGATTATTGATTGTGACGTGTTGACTTTTCCCTTTCCGTTCGGTGTACTTTCAGGAAGGAAGCCATGATTTGTACGTTTACCCTCTTTCGATCTGCTTCCTACTTCTGATAATTGCGAGGGAGGAGAGAGATATACGTAAGTTTTAATCTCAATATTCGAACTTAACCTAATCCCTTTGTTCCTTGTTGTTTTGAAGTAGATGGGATTTAGGTATCGACTAAACTTCCTCGGCGTCTCAGATTTGTTATTAATCCATTGTAATTAGGAACTTTACAGCCCTTCTTACGTGTATTGCTTTCGATTATTTACGCGCAATCGATTCGGGCAATTAATGCCGTGCAAATTAGAGGGTAAGTGCCTCGAAAAGTAATTCGTCGAAGAAAGTGCTATGGTAGATTTATGAGGTATATAATGTATTGTGTGAAATGTAAAGGCTTTTAAACTATATACGAAAACAAGCAACCCCGATTTAAACTAATTTAATTATATTGCTTTAGGGGTGGAAACTCTGGCACAAAGGAACGGTAAAATGAAGGGAAAGTTGGAACATCACTCTTAGATAAACAATCATGTTAAATGAATATAAACCTCGCGATGTCCCCTAATTTTTACCTTTCCTTCAAGGGAAATGGATTTCCATTCAGTAATCGTAGCGTCCGTTTGAAATAAGTACATAGACTAAGCTACGTTTTATCAGTAATTTGTTTCACAATTCAGACTTTTAATGCCTACGTGCAAACTGATCTCTGGAAGTGAAGAACCTCCCACGACTAAATTCGCAATTAATTCCATTCGTTTAAATATCCCTTTAGATGCACCGACATTTTCCATTTAGCTGTGGTGTTACTATTTGATAAAGATAAAAATAAAATAAAACAAAAATTTCTCATTCTGAAAAGGCTTTGTTATAATCATTTAAGAGAATGGATGTGGTAGATATTTAGAACATAGCTCTAGTTTTATGGATAGAGCGTGTTTCTTATAAAATGAAAATGCTGGTCTCGTTTAAGTACATACCACCCTTTCAGTTCTTTTGAAACAAGTTTGAATTTGTCCGTTTTTGTACTGTCGTGAAGTTTGAATTTGCTCCTAAAATTGTAGTTGAATTTTGCTTGTGAAATTAGCAATAAAATTGCTTCAATTTTTGTGTAACGTAATACCCTTTACATGTATTAAGCTATCAAATTCAATTTTAATAGATGGCGTGCCGAGATGGATATAGTTTTTCTGTAAAAAAATTGAGTGGTTAAGTGTTTGACCCTCGGTTTGCCCTTATAAACATAATCAATAATAACGTAAAAATTTTGATGGACCGAAAGACCCTGACAATAGATGAGTGTCATATACGAGGGATTTTTTCACATATTGCATAGTTTTAAAAGGGCAAGAGTAAAATTTCTATATGTAGTTGTCCGGTACCTTGGATTATTGTATGCTATGGATCTACCTTTGTGTGTAAACCATACTAGGCTCACCCCCCTTCCTTTGAGGGGTTTGGAGACATGAATAGAATTTTTACTGGATGATATAAGTAAAAATAAATTGACTTCAATATAGTATTTTTCCCTCACTTTTGGTTGGACCGTAAGTTACCTTAAATTTCGAAATTTAGATGGTACGACACCATGTATATTTTTACATTTTTGGATTTTCCTCGGGATTTTCATTAAAACACCCATATCCCATTAGTTTTATACCGATAATTTTTACTACAATCCCATGCCAATATAAGCCAATCTAATGTTAAATAAACAGAATGGGAAAATGGGTGTAGCACCTAAGAAATTTTTAAAAATATGACATTTGGCGAAGGTCAATCAAAAATGTTATTTTTTCGATAAAGTACCTAAATAGAAATTGTGTCTCTTAGACGAGCTCCTTCTAAGCGCACGCATTCCTCCATTCGCGAACGCAAATTTGCCATAACTCTTTGCAACAACTCGACAGAAATCAATGAAATCTCTTCACGAATCCTGTCCTTGAGTTCATTGGTGTTATGTGTGCGAGTTCTAAACACTCGATCTTTCAGGAATCCCCACAAAAAAAATCACACGTTGAAAGATCTGGGGACCTGGCGGGCCACTCGACATCGCGTCTTGCTTGCTCATAACTGTCGTTATTTTTGTAAAATGCCTTCACAGCGAATGCACGTTCTTGACCAGTCCAATTTTCCAGCGCAAATGAAATGGCGAACTTTTCTACACACAACCACGTCAACAAAGTGTTGTCATGGTTCCAATTACAATAATACTAATCGATTCATAATCGATCGTTCCCGCGCGCCACCTTGTAGTAAAGGAATTATGATCCGAGGGATCTTATATGCTACACCCTGTACACAGGTTACTTACTATAAGCTGTGCCCTGTATATGTATCCTTTAAATCTCGAAATTTAAAGCCAAGAAGTTAAAAATAAAAGTATCCATGGAAAATGGAATTGTTATTATTAGAATGCGGTGAAAGGGCCACGTCCAAATAAATTGCAGGAAAATTGCCATAAAAATGTGGCATCATTTTCCTCAGAAAACCTCGCTTCCGGGATATTCGCCTCCAAGAGAACTAGGAAAGTCAACCCGACTACTACAACGACTATTCATTACAAGCAATAAGTGTGATGTTAAAAGTAACAGAAGGGCGAGCAGAAGGGTTTACTTTTTGATTTAGAAAATTCACAGATTATCGAAAAAGATGCGGGTTTTATTTTTCCAATTTTCCGTCTTTATCATGAAAAAAGATGAAAAAATTTGAAAATTAATACCGTTGAATGGCGTAAAATTTGTTTCCTACAAAAAACTTTAATACATTTTTGCTCTAAAATGATTTGGGGAGCCAATAATCGCATGTTATGAATTTTACATTGTAATCCCTATAATTCGTTACGCAAGTCACCACCCTGTATAGTATAAATCAAAGCCGCACATGCGGGGACTCGGTAATACCACGATTTTCTTTGAAATGTTAACTACAATGCATCTAACATAAACGTAGCGCCCATGTTTAAACTCAAATACGAGGGCTATCCGTAAATTAAGGGCCCATTCACTGCTTATTTCCAATTTTTTCATTGGTGCTCGAATTCGAAGTTAGTAGTATGTCTTTGTTTTTCGAGAAATCATCATAACTCCCTTATTTTAAGGGCCATTGAAAAAAAACAAAAACTTTCAAAACTATCTTTTAGTTCTCTAAAACAGTTGTATTTGCAATTATTTTTTATTTTGTCAAATAACAAAATGGCGATCGATCAAAACTTGTTTGATAACTGCCCCATCGATTTTTGAAAGTAAAACTTGTATAAAATTACTGTTTAGGACAAATGTAGGTAGTTCTACTATATTTGTCCTAAACATTTTTTTTCAATTTCTATATTAACACCCTGTATATTTCAATTTCTATTTTTAACATTTTGAAATCATTTTTTAAAAATGCGCTAAAAATCCTAAGAAAAGGCCTGTTC